TTTTTTTTTTTTACAACTTTAGTTTTTTACTAATTGTTAAGAGTTATTGTTGAGTAAGATTTGTGAGGTGTGTGTGATTTCACTGCAGGCGGCGTGTGGTCCTGGAACCAGAGAGTGAAGGAGTTCAAGCTGAGAGGGAGAAGGAGGCAGCCCTGTGAGTTCTCTGGAGTTGAAGAGCAGAACGGCCCACGTCTGCTCAGCCTCAATTCTGTGTCCCCCCTCCTTGTCTCACCGTCACTCGTACTGTTTACATGTGTGCTGCTCTGATGCCAAAATATTGGGTGTTTGTGTCTGCGTGTGTCTGTAACCTCATCATTTCATGTCTAGAACAACCTAAGTGTATTTTCCCTCTCTCCACTTCCACAGTAGTGCATATACATAACTTGACATGATCTTTTTTTTGCACTTCTTATGGTTTCATTTTTTTATATATGTATGTGTGTGTTTCAATATATATTTATATTTGTGAGTGCAGGTGTCTTGAGTTCCTGTTGCAGAATGGTGCTGCCCCATCACTCAAAGATAAACAAAGCTACAGTGCTGTTCATTATGCTGCAGCGTACGGCCACAGACACTGTCTGAAACTGGTGAGGACACAAATATGTCCAGCGAGTGCCTCGGGGCACTTCCTCCATCTGCACTCTACTGTCACAACTATATTAGATTTAAATGTGTAACCTAACATGCAAATGAATTTAGTCCAGTTTGTGGTTTCATTCATGTGTCCTAAAAACATGCCTGCAGTCTGTTGAACCTATTGTATGCCACCTTCTGGTGCAGTGCATATGTTTATAGTGCAAGAATGAATGTGTTCCAGTTTAATTCAGAATAGCTTTTGATTGAGTTTAATGAGAACAGCTGTAATTCAGATGAAATCTGATTTCAGCTTTTGGACAGAGATGAGAACCAACATGATGAGATGGAGAACAGCCAAACCAGAAGCCCATTGCATCTGGCCGTGAGTCCAAGTTTACACCTGTACAACCACACCCTAACAAGTTATAACACCTTATCAATAAAATATGTGACCCTGGAGCACAAAACCAGTCATAAGTAGCACAGG